CAATTGAATTCACATGTTCCCGAAAGTAAAACATATGACCCCCTGAAAATGATCATAACTTCAGGGTTCTATAATCAAAGATCTTTATCTATGAGTCACGTTTTCTTGCAGCAATATTTTTCTTCCCCAAAAAAAACTTTAGCATTATTTTTTTGGGGTAAATTCTGTAACAGTATTACCATTTTTGGTGTAAAAAGCATCGATCATTACATGATTGTACAAGATGTATTGTATTCAGTATTATATATTTTTAGAAGTATACTAGTAAATATAAAAAGCTTCTCTCTGATCTTTTTAACGATTCATATCGATCTCTTCTCGGCATTCTATATTTTCAATCTTTTAAATATTTCTTTTTTCTTTTTATTTTGCGTGGTTAATCAATCAACTTCTGTAAATCAATCAACTTCTGTAAATAATACATTTGTCCGCAAAAAAAAAAAAAATATATATATATTAAATGAAGAACAGTTCGTTTGATATTTATATTTTTGATTTTTATTTGCGTTGAGTACAAGCAGTTGATCTGCCTGTAACAAGCTTGACTCGATTGGTGTTTAATCAAAAATTCAAATCAATCGAATTTTTTATATCACTTTTTGTAAATAAATTCTGAATAAGCATATTTTTATTCAACAATCATTCTTTCTTAAAAACTTTTCAATTCCAAATTTCATAAATTCATCTTAGCATCCTAAAGCATCAGATCACTGTTAACAATTAGTCAATCATGTCAATACCTAGAAGGACAACTGCATTTTCGAATCTGAGAGGTTCTCGAAAATATTCATCTAAATCAAAAAAACACAGTCAACATACACCTGATGAATTGTCTCTTGAATATATTGATGAAAATCATATTGCTGCATTCGAAAAAGCCCTTGCTGAGGATCCTGATAAAGATTTAACGGAACACATTGCTGCTATGAGTGATTTCATGCCGATCCATCAAAATGTCAAGAAAAAAGTCAAAGTACCAAACGGATTTGAAGGTGTTTCCTATCATATCGTTAGGTTTCCCATGATGGTAAGTTAATGATTCGATTTTGCTCAAATTTATATTGACAATATTAACCAACATATATATATATTTATATATATTTTGGCGAATTTAGTTGACGATTTTTTTTATCCTTACATTCGAACTTGTTTTATACATTTTGGTACGTCAAATTGTGAATATTTGGGAATATGTTGTCCAATGGTAGGTTCATATAATAAATTTTTAATTTACAAGGTTTATTATTATTATTGAGGTTACTAATGTTTTGATTCATTACATTATTAAAGGCGTGGTGAAAAATATTTACTACGTGAAAAACTTCGTCGGTCTACAACTTATGATGAATGGATTGCTGCTGCCAAAGATCTTGATTCATATTTAGATTATGATAGTTGGAAATATGAAATTCCATTTGGATATTATGATTTTAACCTTTTGCAAAAGGTCAATCTAGATCTAAAGAACTTAAAACAAGGTCCAACCGAAAATTTAGCAATGCTAAAAAGTGCTCTTCAACATTGCGTAAAGAACAACTTTGCTGGCGTTGAAAATGTTAGGCTATATTCTCAAACTTATTATGGAACTAAACAAATTGTCGAAGAATATTATGATGAAGGTGATTATTCATAATCATTTCATAATCATCTAACTAGATATATATATTAACTATATATGTGTGTGTATATATTTTTTAGCCGCTGAATCCCTTGATGTTTTACGGACCACCAAAAGTTTGCCATTTGAAGAAAAGCGTAAACTTTTTAGAAACACTTATAAAAATTATGGCAGAACAGCTTTATGTCTCAGTGGTGGTGCATGTTTCGGTTATTATCATCTTGGTGTCGTTAAAGCTTTATTCGATGCTGATAGCTTGCCCACAATTATCACTGGTACCAGTGCTGGTGCATTAATTGCTGCCTTAGTTTGTGTGAGAACCGATGATGAACTGGCACAAGTCTTGAAACCTGAATTATGCCAACGTCTTACCGCTTGTTCTGAACCATTTCCCAAGTGGCTAAAAAGGTGGTGGTTAACGGTACATATTATTAAAATTTTTTGTAATATTAATATCTCTTTTCTTTACTTTAATTTATATAATGTTTTTTAAGTATAAAATTTATTTATAAAATTTATATTTAAAATTTTTAGGGTGCTAGATTTGATGCTAAGGATTGGTCTAGAAAAGTTCAATGGATCACAAAAGGAGGCTTAACTTTCAGGGAAGCATACGAACGAACCGGAAGGATTCTAAATATTTCTGTTATACCATATGACCCACATTCTCCGCCTAAAGTTTTGAATTATGTTACTGCTCCTGATTGTGTCATCTGGTCTGCTGGTAAATTCCGTTTTATATATATATATATATATTTTAATTTATTCTTTAATAATTTATTATAATCTTATTTAATAATTTATACTCTTATTAATATTAATTTATAGTAATTGCAAGTGCTGCCGTGCCTGGCATTCTTAATCCCGTGGTTCTTATGCAAAAATTGAAAGATGGCACAT